ACCTCGTAATCCAGCTAAGCCTCAGTAAAGCACGGGCGAACATGGAACCGTCCCAAGGGCCAAACCCATATTGTCGATCGAATCTACGACATCTCTCTGCACTGATCGAGGATGATCCAAAACCTGGTTAAAGAAGCCTCACGACAATCGTTGACAGAGACATAATAATCCAGGCCGCTAGGGGGGGGGGGGGGGCTGATGCTACATGCTCAAGCAGCAAAAGTGAGTTAAATTGATGAAATCGTTGGAAATAAGTCGCTTTTAACGGGTCTTAACACGCGCTCAGATGGGGGTCAAATTGACCTGCCGAAGGTTTTTCCCGAATGGTTTACGAACGGTGCGGTGTAGCTGCGCACAATTTTGTAGACAATTGTAGACAATTGAATATCGGATCGTTTGGCATAACAAATTTAGATGTACCTTGTAAGGTCGCTGACCAATGGCAGGTCAAAGTCAGGCTGTGGTCTCAGCGAAGTCCATTCCTAGGGAATCGTTCAATCTGATGCAACAACGGAGTGTTAGACGAAGTCACACATCTCTGAGATGCTTTCTTAGGAAACACAAATATTGAATGAGCAAACTGCGTTGACCTAAGGTCGGATATGAAGGTATGACCAAGGTCAAAACCAACCTGTTTTATTACTCAAGGGCCTGCTGTATGAGATAGCTTCTGGTGCTTATTTTAAATTGATTGATAGCAGGAACCGCATTATACATCTTCCATGGACTTCTTGGAGGTCAGAATCGGTCATTGACCTAAAATGACCGAGGTCAACATTTTGTTTTTAGAAACATACTGCCCACCATAATCTTTGTCGCTTATTCAAATGCAAAACTCAGTGCACTCTTCTACGATTTTGGTCACCATGACCTTCAAAAGGTCAAAAAAGGTCACTGGCCTTAGATGAGCGTGTGACTTTTTGCTTAGAAACAATCATCTAGATTCTGGGGCCACTTTGGAGACCAACCTGGAATTTGGCCCTGTTTGGCCTTATTTGACCCGAAGGCCATGACCTAGGAACCTCAAACTTTGACCTAAGTGAGTTCACGTGCAGGTCAACGCACTCTTTACATTTGATGTCTCTGGCTCTCTTAGTTCCCGAGATCTCAGGGGGGTCAAATTGACCCCACCCCGTCCCCTCACCTGAGCGGAGGGCATCTAGCCGGCCACTCGGGCGCGTGTTAATGTCATTATGGAAAATCTTTCGCACAGTTACACATATGGCGGACTAATGCAGGTTCGTGCCCCTCTCCCGTTCCCTCCCTTACATGGTCTTAAGGGCACCTAAGTTCATCTCGCTCAGCACAATCACACCGATCGTTATATAAAGAACGTTAATCTAAAGCCAATAGGACTGTTGTGAGGATCTAAAGCGCCTCCTCCCCTGGGGTGTCTCAAAAAATTTGATGTGGGGCGTGTCCACCAAGTACCCACCGCATGTGTGGCAAAACCTGACCTCGTGCGCGCTCAATTATCCATAACCCATCGACCGCATTTAGTCAATCAGTCTTCCTGGTCGAATCTGCTACGCATCGTTGGCCCAGCCATCGCAGCCGCTGTTTTAGTGGCCAGAAAGTGGTTTCTTTTGTACCGCACACACCCATAGAAAGATACTACGGCGAGGAACCAGGGCCGTGACTAACGGTTCTATAAACAAGGTAAGTGTTGAACGAGAGACTCGGACTCAGGTTGCGAAACAGTTAACTGGGACTCAAGGTCCGTCTTATGACTCGGTCTCGGACTAGGATTTAAGGACCTGGGACTCGGGCTTAAGACCCTGTGACCAACTGCCAGACCCCTGGGCACACACTCAATGCCAAAGGACTCGAACTAAAGTGCATCAAGCTGATGGACTTGAGTTCAGGCGATGTCCAAAGGGCAGACTAAGGACTCGGACCCACGCCCAACACATAATCATCCGGCCGAGGACTCCGGCTCTCGGACTCGCAAACTGTCTCGCAAACTACCTCGAGCCGGAATATTCTCATAATATATGATGCAAATGGCTACGAAAACACAAAGCATCCAGAGTTGTGTGCGGACAGACTCGAAACCATTGGCACGGCGCTCGTTTAAAAATGAAATGCAAATATCTCTAAAAACAGCCCAGCCCACGAAACATACCCTATGTAGGCAGCGGTGCCCATCTCCATCGAGCGGGTGTCCGGCGCTGCGTGCCCGCACGCGCCCCGAGAGCGCCCTCGGCTGCGGCCAGCGGCGCCGGGGGCTGCGCCGCGCCCGGCCCGGCAGCTGACCCACACACCACGCTACAAGTGGTCCAGCAGCGCCCGCCATCGTCGCTCACAGGATCGTGGCAGACCGTAACCGATGTACGCAGACCCATTCCCAAAAAGCAGGCATACGCGATGCTGGAAGACAATGGCGGGCCGTGGCAGACTAGTCGAGACGAGCATGCGGTGCAGGACAGTGGGACTGGGGCAGAAGCAGCCGGTAAACCGGTTGCACTTACACTATATTTTGCACTATATTGCACTATATTTGCACTATAAATCACTCATATTTACTGCACGCGCATTTGAGTCGTCTCCACTGCTTTGGCGCCGGCTCAACGGGAAAACAAAGATAATTTTTAACCCACGCACATCTGCCACAACAGTACAAAAGGGCGGCTTATCAGGCAAAAGCTTGAATGGGTCCCACACAGACCTTGTGGTCCGCGTGCATTAATTTGAATGGTCCACATCCGTTTTTATTAGGAGCCTCCACGTACTGAAAGCGGAATCCCAAACCATCTCGGCAGGCGCTTCTTCCACATATCTGCGCTTTTGTCTGGCGCTCTTTGTGGTAGAAAGGGCTATTTGTTTCAGGGGATTGTGTCGTAGGTTTTTCTTTGTGCTGGAGATGCCGGTTGACGGCTTCTAAATAGGAGTTTCGATCAACCTCTGACGCTTTGGTATCCACAACCAACCACGCACCTGGGGAGTTCATCGCCACACTCTCCCCGCACTGCGCCCAAACCAGGCGTTGGAGAACCACGCAATATTGGGTCCAAGTGTATCAATAGTGTCCCCCACATCGATCAATAGCACTCAGGGTCCACCATGTACACAAGGTTTACAAGCACACATGCACACAGGGTCCACAAATCGATAGCACACAGGGTTCATCATGCGTATAGGGTGTGTTCGTATGTCCGTCGCCGTTCTTCCTCGACACTCCTTGAAAAAGTGCGATCGACATGCTGGTCCTGAAGTTGCATCTACAAAAAGCAAAAACCTGCCTCATTTAAATCTGGTCGCTACCACATTCGAAGAAGTAACTTGTGCAGCGATACCACACGCGATACACTGCGCCCATTGCTTCTGCCGCGCTCGGAATGGTCCCTGGGAGTCCGTTCTTGAAGCGCCTCGAGCCCCATCTGCGATTCACACCGGATCTCCTCCTCGGCGTCAGAAAGCCGCATCTCCACACTGAGCTCCATCTTGGACAAGAAAAGAGGTCGCACAGAGGTGAGCCCGACCCTTACAGGCGAGGTTGCGACGATTGAGTTCGTGTGGGCCAAAAAGTCGCGCGTTTCTAGCGCACCGTGGGCGGGAACGCTGTCATGCTCACACGCTTGGCCCTCAATGTTCTCCTTGAGACAGGCAGGTCAAGAGCACGACCCAGGGCACGTCTGTCGTTTTCTCGACACTTCCAGTGAATTGATCCCAGGGGTTCAGACTGCCAATTCTGAGTTCTCCAAGTCACTCCGAGGTGTCCGAGGCAGAATGTTCGGCACGGTTCGCCTGAACTGAGGCGCGATGGCAACTGCGTGCTCCAGGCAACCATCGCAACGCGTCCACTCACAGAGGACTGAAGACACGCGCTTCCTTTGTCCATCTTTATCGCACTTCGCATACTTTTTTGCCGAATTTTGATATCTGTTATCATCGTCTTCTGCTGACGGCCGTACGGGTCAAACGATGCGCGAAGCCGAGCTGAAATTGTGCACAAACGCGTGCGCACGAAACGGATTGCAGTACGAAATGTCACGCTGGAAGTTGCACAAGGCGGAAGGGCCGATTTTAGGATAACAGAGTTACCGCAAATCGTACATATGGGTGAAACAAACTGAGCGACACACACAACCCAATCCGTAATCGCGTCTTCGAAAAAAGCCGGTCACCGCTTAGTGCGGGCGTTGACAAACCCGGAATCCCACCAACAACAAGCCGACTTATGTGAAAAGCTCATGAAAAGCAGGAAAGTGAATCAGAGGCAATATTGGGGACGACACGCACGCTTCATTTATTCGCTGCACTTAAAGCTATCGGAAATGTCGCAGCAGAGGGATTCGGCTACCCATAAACTGGCAAGACCATAAAGTAGATCGGGATCGAACTGCGCGATGGCAAAGCTTTGCGGCAATGATAATTTCTTCGGAAATCTGGCGGCGGCGGCAGGGATATGAATTGCTTGACATTTCCGGTACGCAAAAGCAGATTCAGCAAAGACCAACAGAAAGCTGAGCACAGGTTATCACTTGAACTTTACACGGCGTAAGAGGATGCCGCATCATGAAAAGTCAGGTCGATTTATAGCCCATGTGAACTTTGCCTTCGAGAATTGTTAGTCTGCCCTGCATGGTCATGACAAATGGTGAGCTACCGTGTTCATTTTTGTGTCCGCCCCTCCAGCCAGGGTAAGAAGCAGGCGACGCCATATAGCCTCAGCAGCTGAGCGCGTCGTAAAGCCTCATGACATACCGTGTTTTATCGAAGTAGACTTAGTGGCGCCCGTGAAAGGCCTTTTGTTAATTTTGAAAAGTCGGCTGCACGTAACTTCTCCGTTTCCATGGGAGCAATTTGGTTCCCCTCGGGTTATTCCCAGCTTAAAGTTATACAGCTTCCCTTATAAGGGATCAGATCTGATCACGGCCCCTTAGTCCACGGGCCATGACAGCGACCCGCACGACCCGCGAGCCTCCGAGCCAACGGCCGGCCAGCTCCAGCTCCAGCTCCAGCTCCTGCCACACGCCCATTCACACTGCAGCACTCACCGAGCCGGCCGAAACTGGAGCTGATCCTGCGCTTCAGCTTCTGCACCCGGCTCAGCCGCCCTTCCACCTTGCCCCGGAGAACCACACCTGGAGGGGAGCGCTGGCCTGAGCACGAGCACACGCCTCGGACCGGGCCGGCCCCAGCTCGCTCACGGAGGTGGGCACCCGGCACACGGGGGAACTAATCACCGGCTTCAGCAGCTCCGAGCATGATCCACGTTATCGCGGGCAGCCACGCCCGGTGCGAGAATAGAAAACACAGGCAGCTCGAATAGCTCAGATGATAACCCATACTCTTATAGATACAGCACCCGGGGCAAGGAGAAAACCAAGCTCGAGCCGCCTGCTTCGGACGATAATCCGCCTATCACAGATGGCCGCGCCCCCAGCATGGAAAAGTTCGGCTCGACTCGTCAAGTCCAGACGAATTTCTGGTTGAGCTCTTTCACATATGGATACTCTCCCTGTGGGATACAGACGACCGGAAGTGAGCTTAAAACAACCCAACTCGGGTAAAGGCTGAAATGTAGCCTGGCCTAAATATCAAGTCCATGATGCATGAAACAAAGATAGATCCTGCTAACTCCGGCAGACGAAAAAAAATAATCGGAAGGCAACCGCATCACTCGCTCTATGAACTAAACAGCCATCCGAAATGAACTAGAACAGCCAGCACCAGACAACAAAGCCCATGCACCAGGAGAGAGAGAGAGAGAGAGAGAGAGAGAGAGAGAGAGAGAGAGAGAGAGAGAGAGAGAGAGAGAGAGAGAGAGAGAGCGAGAGCGAGAGCGAGAGCGGAGCGAGAGCGAGAGCGAGAGCGAGAGCGAGAGCGAGAGCGAGAGCGAGAGCGAGAGCGAGAGAGAGAGAGAGAGCGAGAGAGAGAGCGAGAGAGAGAGAGAGAGAGAGAGAGAGAGAGAGAGAGAGAGAGAGAAGAGAGAGAGAGAGAGAGAGAGAGAGAGAGAGAGAGAGAGAGGAGAGAGAGAGAGAGAGAGAGAGAGAGAGAGAGAGAGAGAGAGAGAGAGAGAGAGAGAGAGGAGAGAGAGAGAGAGAGAGAGAGAGAGAGAGAGAGAGAGAGAGAGAGAGAGAGAGAGAGAGAGAGAGAAGAGAGAGAGAGAGAGAGAGAGAGAGAGAGAGAGAGAGAGAGAGAGAGAGAGAGAGAGAGAGAGAGAGAGAGAGAGAGAGAGAGAGATAGAGAGAGAGAGAGAGAGAGGAGAGAGAGAGAGAGAGAGAGAGAGAGAGAGAGAGAGAGAGAGAGAGAGAGAGAGAGAGAGAGAGAGAGAGAGAGAGAGAGAGAGAGAGAGAGAGAGAGAGAGAGAGAGAGAGAGAGAGCACACTGTCAGACACAGAACGAACACAAGGCCATATGCAGTTACACCAGCAAAAGAATCGATCCCCATCTTAGCTGATTCCAAGGCATGAGTACGAATGGCAGTTGTCTGTACAACGATGACGCGCATGCGCCCCAACGCCCGTCAGCTGTATACCGTATACGGGTCAGAGGCTCGGCTGGGGCAACAGCCCCCCACCCCCCCACTCGGCTGAGCGGAGCACGACAGCTGACACGGCTCTCTCCTCCCCCCCCCCCCCATCGCTCGCAAGCTGTGTACCGTACACGGGTCACAGGCTTGGCCGGAGCAGCAGCCCCCTCCCCCACTCGGCTGAGCGGAGCACGACAGCTGACACAGCCCCCCCCCCCCCCCGGGAAATATGCCGGGCAGCTGAGATTGCAGTCGCGGCAGAGTGGGCGGCTCGTATCACGGCTGCGCACTGCCGCATCCCCCTCCTAATTCCCACCCCGCGAGACCAGACACGGCCGAGGCGACGTGCCCCGCTCGTCCGCGCCGCCGGCCCTCTATTCCCGGGCTCGGCCGGCTCCGGCCAGGAATCCAATGGTTGTCGAAGCTCCACGCGCACGCATCCGTTGCTAACGACTGACTGCCACTCGCCTTTCAAACGCACCGTGGCAATCTTACCTTCTCCATGCAATCCTGCGGCGGGATAGTCCAGTCTCATGGCATCGAGCTTGTACACATTGTTCATGCTAGATTCAGTTCCAATTTTTTTTTTCTCACTTGAGTTGGCACAGTTTTGATGACGTTTTCACCTGTAACAGCGGAGCAGAAAGACATGCAGTACAATGTCCCAGGGCCTGAGAAACAGATTAAAAGTCATCGCAAATGTTCACACCATAATTGTAACACACGACAACTATGTCACTCTTCGGGAAAACTCCCACAGTGAGAACTTCTAGGGAAATTTCCACAATAACAAAATAAGGCAGCCATATACAGGAATACTGGTGAAAGAAAGCACCAGTTTTATAAATGATGCATGTTAACCCCATCAGACAATTTCTCACTTTACGACTAATTACGACATGTACATACAGTGTCACACCACGAGCAAAGCCTCACGGGCACCAACGCTGAATACTGAATAACACCAGTCTCGATAATCTAACAGCTCATTGTCATTATTAATAGTGTGAAGTGGCGAGGGCGTGCCGCCGTTCCTGCGCCCAAAAGACGATGCAGCTAAAATTACATTCTTTCCGGCTATGCACATATGTTGAATAGTAATGACACTGCATATGCATGTTCAGAAATGACGTTGTCCATGTGTGCATGCGTTAGTGTACATGTGTGCATGCGTGCGTGCATATGGATACATATGTGCATGTGCATGCTGATGTGTGTGTGTGTGTGTGTGTGTGTGTGTGTGTGTGCGTGCGTGCGTGCGTGCGTGCGTGCGTGCGTGCGTGCGTGCGTGCGTGCGTGTGCGTGTGCATGCGTGTGCGTGCGTGTGCGTGCGCATGTGTATGTGCATGTGTATGTGCATGTGTATGTGCATGTGCGTGTGCATGTGTATGTGCATGTGCGTGTGCATGCACATGTGCATGTCCGTGTGCATGTACGGGCATATGGGTGCGCATTTGCGTGCATGTGTGTGTGTGTGTATGTGGAACAGTTTAGCAGTTGGGTTATGCCAAATATTGCTTTCACCATTGCTGAACTGTACCTGCTCTACGATAGAAGTACACAATGCATGTAACGCATTGGACAGAGTTTCACATCACAAATGCCAAAAACATCGCGGATTGTAAATGCGATGAGCAGTAGATTATCAGAAACATGAGCAATCCATCAGAGTATCCAAAACAGACATTTGCAAGTCACCAATGTACGGCTGATCGCTGACATCATGCACACATCCAATCGACTGTGTTATCCCACGGAGGCCGCCAGGCTGGGCGCCGTCAAATGGACTTCGAAAAAGATCGATAAAGGTAAAACTGCACGCCAACAGCGCTCGACTCGGGTGGGCCGTTTGACAGCATCGGCCACGGTGTGCTGCTGGACAGACTGGAGTGGTATGGTGCGCAGTCTGCGTGGTTTCGGAGTAACCCCTGCGACTGAAACAGGTGCAAGCCAGTACCTAGGTACTGACCTTGACCCCGGGGGCAGCCCACGGACCATCACTGGATCCATCCTCTTTCCTGTGTTTGTCAATGACCTGTCCCTCCTCCCTACAGCCATGTCATGTCACATGCTGACAACACACAGCTTCTCAACCATTCTCCACCCGCCATTCTTGGCTGGCCAACTCGGCTTGCCATTCTCAAGGTGTGAGGCGAGGAGTTCGTTCTGCATCTCCAATACTGCCCCAGGCCAATAGTATAAGAATGAGCCATAACAGCATGCACTTCATTATTCTCAGTCAGCAAGTCATCCCTAAATAAAAGACTTTGACATCACATTTTCAGGCTCAAGAACATCTCCAAGAAAACTGTTCCAATTCCCAGAGTTCTCCTTCACCAACAGCTAACATGGGAGTCCCACATATTCATGGTACTCCAGGATGAATTGTCATCCCATCATCCCTCTGCAAGATCCAACACAGCCTCATGTAGGACAGCCTAAAGCCCTTGTCCAAGCTCACATCTTTCCACATATCCTTTACTGTCTATTGGTCTTGGGAGGACCCACCCAGTGTGTTATTACAGAATCTTAATGACTGTCAGCTTCACAGCCAGGCTGGTAACACAGGTGTGACAACCATACCATAACAATGCCATCAGCGCTGGAATTGTTAGGGTGGCAAAAAAAGAGGAGATGGTGCACCAGCATGATGGCATTGCTGTCCAAATAGCCTTGACCAAAAATATGTTTCCCCACAGTTGAGGTCACATTTCCCAGGTATACACAGGGGTTGCTACAAGTTTCATGCTGTGTAAAGCTGTTCCAGAGATGCAGACTGACAGCCAAGTGGGGACTCAGCAAGCAGTTGTGCTTAGTACAATATTACTTGACATAAACTTAGATGAAAAACACCTTTTGCGTCTATCGCAAGTCTTGAGCATGCATTTTATTGCATGGTACTGAAGTGTCTTTCTTTATAGTTCATTACTAGGTTTATACTTAAGAGGATTTTTAAAGGCCCCCAAGGGGATGAATTTTACCAAGGACCATCAATATGATAATATTTATTGTCAGGAGCACCTGTAACGTGCACCTAATTTTGATGTCAATCGGTGGCACTGCAACACCTGTCACATCAGCTGGATTCTTCAACCATGACCAAGAGGTGTGGGTTCTATTTAAAACCTGTCTTAGACAATGATAGTTGAGTTAAATGACATTACAAACAACAAAGTAGCATGCAAAATTTATTATGAAATAACCAATCTATGACTGGTGGCAGACAGTATAACTGATAAGAGCAGAAAATAAATTAAGAACCACAATACTGCTAGCACTGCACTATGCACTATTCCCCCACTTAAAGTTGACCATCTCAAACATCTTTATCCACTTGTCAGCCAAATATGCCAGACCTCATTGAGATTGCATTTGACAGGGGAAGAAAGCACTAAGTCAGAGGCAGTTTTCTAAAATTTAGGGGGGTCAAAATTCCTGAACTGGGCAGATCCTGCAGCCATGGCGCAGCCCCCGCTATCTTGTGGCCTAAATGACCTTACTATGTGATCAGTCATGTTTTAGGAGCATGTCAGGCTGGCAGAACCTATCGCAAGTTGGTACCTTGCTGTCGCACCCGGGACGGGACTCAAGCTGCAATTATACGTCTCGTCAGCGTTTCCCAACCGTTTGCAGACCGGCCCTCGCGGAAGCACTACATGACGGAACGGCACCATAGGAGACCATGCACCCTGTTACCAAAGAAACTTTCATACGCCGCTTATCACGTCCACGCACACGCACATCCACAGTCCGCATCGCCACCTACCACCCGCGAACCGCCCGCTCCTCACATTGTGTACATCGGGCGCACGCACCCGCTCGTGTTGTGTGAAGCCGTCAAATCACAGTAATTTCCGCTCCATAGCTCAAGAGTATTTTTAACTCTGTCTGGCAGCTTGGTAAAAATCACATAGTCCTATCACACGACCACTTAATGAATTTCAGCTATGAGACATTTATGGTCCCTTGATTTCTGTTACGTTATAAATCAATCATAGCCCTGATAAAGCATTTGATGGAAAGGTCTTTAGTACAACGCTTATACTTATTTCTAGCTTACAAAACTTATGATTTTAGTCGTACTCTACGTTCCCTAAATATTTGTATTCCTTCTACCCAAGACGATCAAAAGCAAATTTTAGGCGGCTGTCATCTCAAAATATACTCTACATGTCTGTATATTGTTAAAAAGTCGCAAAAGAAGGAAATGTTTTTTTTTCTACCGTAAACGTTAGTTTATACTAAAACACAAACAACTCAACCAGTTTACAGTGTTCCTGGCGCCCTCGATTCAAAGTTTGCTGGACTGCTATTGCCTTGGGCATGGCGGGTGGCGTGACGAAGGAACGCTAACGGCTATTGCCGATCACCGATCCTGCACTTAACTTCCATTTATTTGTCTTTTTTAATAAGATGTACAATTTTACCATTCAACCCACACCTCTAACCCGGGGCCTTATTCGCAACATGAGTTGTGTGAATGGGCAAGAAAAAAGTAACTGAACCAAAGTCTACAAAAAATCCAATTATCTGGACGTTTATGCGACATCTGTGCAGCGAACCTGAGCTTGCGTGTGTGAAGCTCAGCCGAGGCCAAATTATCTGAAATTATTTATTATTTGTATGCACCAAAAAGGTCTTCCTAGTATTTTTGCCTGAATTACATTTGCAAAATGTAATGTCACAGTTCCCTACTGGCTTTCTATCTGCTGATAGTGGTGGTTCCTATGCACCAGATTTCAATTTCTCAGGCATACATGTGTAAGTATCCATCCCCATGGTTCAGATGGTCAGAGTGCCTGCCTGTCGATCCTCCCACCTTTGGTGGGTGGGTTCATGGTGTGCATATGTCTGTCCCTTCAGCTCATTTGGTAAGAGCACTTGCCTTCCAATCCACTTACCCCTAGAAGGGTGGGTTTGAGTCACTTCAGGCACTGGTTGTTGACAAGGTCCCTGTAGGTGGCAACCCTAAAATACCAGGAGACCTGAGAGATCATGAGAGGGTCCTGAGGTGAGCATTGAGGGGTGTTATAGTTTGGCTACCAAATTCTGTTATGGGCATGGAATTGCATGATCAGATGGAGGGGGTTAGGGCAAAGACAATAAGCACCCTTTAGTGTGAACCGTGCTCTCAGAAACCATCCATTGAAAGGGTTGGGTTCAATCTGTGAAAGATGCTAAAGTTGTTGCCATAATACTGCATTTATGCCTGAGATGTTCAGCATAATGTGTAGTTTTGCAGCTTGGGCTAAAATACCCTCAAGAAGTCAACATATACCACAGCCTGACTCTTCCCAAATTGTTCCTGCTTGCCATCTTCAAATAAATAAGGAGAACTCACCACTGCCCCTGCTCAGATAATTTTCTCATGTTAATGACATACCCATGATTGCCACTTTTAGCGGGAACTGCACACCTGCGTGGTTTGGGCAGACGTGTTGTTTTATCTTGGGCTGATTCTCAGCAGTTGGAGGTGTTAGTTAGCATTGCTAATGATGTTTATCATCCTTTTACACTGTTTTTTTTTAAAGTCTTTGCAGTGACCAAAAGGCATTCCAGATGTCTCAAAAAGTCCTACTTAAATCCTGCCTTTGTGCTTACAAGCATGATTGTATCACAGATTTGGAATGCTTACAGGGTCAAGGATAACTGAAAGGACTGTTTCACTCCATTGCTAGGTATGAGTAAAAACAAGTGAAAGGACTCCACACAGTGTTTTTCATATAATACAAAGCAAGAGCTAACTCCTTATAATGGGGCCAAAGTCCCCAAAATGGGGTTTTCAAGAACAAGAATTTGTTCCCATCAATGAATGGCTGGAGATGATGTAAAAGATTTCAAGTGTGAGATTGTCAACTCATTCAAGAATCTGGTGATGGGCCAAACAGAGATATGAAAATGAAGTAAAACCATTGCCAGTCATCAAAAGCAAACAACTAGTATGATATGTCTGATTCATATCTTGCATTCAGTTTATTGTTTGTGCCTTCAGCCCAATCTGTTATTTCCTCAACATACACATACCATTGATGCTTTGTGTAAATGATTTCTGTATGAACATGAGCACCATTTATGTGTTCACACTAACTCCTGAACACATTGAATATCATCTAAGTAGTAAACCAACCTTACCAGGAGCGCTTCATGTCGTCAGCTCCAAACAAAAGGTTTCACAGTTATTTCACAGTATTAAAACACAGTTGTTTCCACATGTTTTAAGAAAATCTTTGGTGAGTTGTTTAAAGAATAGAATGTTTTACTTCTTAAGCTGTGAACAATGTTTCATGGCATTTTCACATTTTTCTCAGGTTAATCATCCTGGTTGGTGTTTACGCATGTCTACCAAATAACTTCATGATAACTTTTTGCCACTCATGTGCTGCTGATCTCCTCATTATGTTATCGGGCTGCGCCGGCCGCGGTGGTTCCATCATCTGACCGAGTTGCGCCGGCCGCGGTGGTTCCATCATCTGACCGAGCTGCGCCGGCCGCGGTGGTTCCATCATCTGACCGAGCTGCACCGGCCGCGGTGGTTCCGTCATCTGACCGAGCTGCACCGGCCGCGGTGGTTCCGTCATCTGACCGAGCTGCGCCGGCCGCGGTGGTTCCGTCATCTGACCGAGCTGCACCGGCCGCAGTCCGTGCCGATGGGGTCCGGCATCTTAAATACTTAAATTCGGAGCTGCCTGCTGGACACTGTTTATCATTGCCTTCTCAACTGTATTCATGGTCCTCCTGGCGACTTGTGACGATTGGTATCGATAAAGTAGCTTTTTTTTCTTCCCTCGGGAGGATTTTCACTGTGTGTGGGCACACCGAGGCAAGAGCTCGTCGGTCTACTGTGTCGTGAAATGGGCGTCATGTAATCAGTGTGACATGTGTGGCAGTGTGACATGTGTCACACTGCCATGTAATCAGTCATGTAATCAGTGTGACATGTGTGGCAGTCGGCGCGCCCTGAAGCCCAGATCGGCATCACCACTATTGCCCGTTCCCAATGCGGCGCCGTCGGCGCTTCTTCAGCACTCCCGTGACTGTGGAGGCTTGACTCTGGTCCAGTGGCATGTGTGTAGCGGGGGACTCAGGAAGCAGATATGAGAGCGGTGCTGAGATCGCTCTCAATACGTTTCGTATCGGTGAGGTGCGATACAAATTATATGTTATCAGTTACGTGTGAGCAAAATACATACTTGCCTTGACATTTGTCTAGATGCTCGTCGCTGATTGTCATCACACAGGCGGTGAACGTTGCCTAACTACAGGGACAGGAACGGGTCACCCTCGTAATAACGTACTTGGAGCGGGGCAGAGCGTTGGGTTGTAACCTGCCTGAGCACCGAAGGTCATCGGTATCGGGCTGTTGATGGGCGGTTCGTGTGGCCCATCAGCCTTCGGTGTTCAAGCGGACACCAGGATCTGTTACCCCCGGCTTCTAAGTCTTGTTACGCCCTGAAAGGCTGGTCGACTTCTGCTTGCCAACTACAGCCTCAGTTTTCTACTTCTATCCCGCCCCGCCGCTTACCATCGTAAATATGTAGTCTATGCCGGGCGAACCAGGAAAGATCAGCTAAGTCTCCCAAACCCAATAATTGAACACGACTTCTCACTTCGCAGCGTTCAGACTCCACTTCCCAGTGCTTTGCGATGATTTTGACTCCGCTGAAAAGCGACATCGTTTGCATTGTAGTCCAACTACAAATTGTGTGTCGTTTTCGTGCAATTTGAATATTGCGGGGCTTTCCACTGCCTTCCGCCCGTGAGTTCCATTTCGTTGCCAACAAGTCTTGCAAAACCTTTGGTGTTGTTGTCATCCGGCCTTAGTATCCTACACACGAGTGTTGCTTAGTTAATTGGGAAGCAGCTGCGTCCCGAGCACCTCAGAAAATCAGTGGTAGGCTCATGACGGCGCGCACGGCTGAACCCAAACATGACACAGTTGCGCCGCCAACATCTCTGAAAATTAGCACCGAGTCCATGGCGTTGCATTTATGGGATGCACCGAAAGACGGCATCTGACTTTTCACTACTGCAATTTGTCCGGCTGACCCATTTTCCAGAGTAAACACCACCATTTCAACATATGTTACAGGTCCGTCCCGAGTCGTCCAGGACTTGACTTCTTTCGCCTTTTTTGGGGGCTGTCGGTTGCCGGCCATCCACAAAGTCATGCTGTGTTCTGCGTGGGAGATATATTGAATCATTTTTATAAACGCTCTGACAGCAACTAAGCACACAGTGTTTCTGACTGTCGCCAATGTCACCGGTCAGGCTGGAAACGGTCAATAAATTAGCGTCGCGCTCTGACAGTGCACTGCGATCACGCCGCCCTGCCCTGCCTCTGGACATCGAGTCGCCGGAGGCCAGGTCAGGTCAGCTCACGCAGCCCGTCCCACCTCCCTCGCCGCCACCATTCCCACTCATTCTGGTATAACCCTCACCTCAATTTTACCGCGCTTTGTACTTGGTCGAAAACATGTAAAACCCGCCGCCACAGAGCGTCCCGCCCTGCCCACAACAGACCCGGCCAGCGCGGCCGCCGCCAGCGCCGACACAAACACGCCAGTTCAGGGAGGCTTTCCAACGCAGCCAGGTCTCGTGACCGGCACCATTCTGTGAAATGTTGTGCACACTCCGCCCCGCGACTTTCCAATCAAAAAACGACAGCTAACCACTCGCCACACAGACCATATTTACGCAAGAAAAAGCACGGCAAGCTGGACAGGCACCAGCCCGGCGTCCGGCCTGGGTTGGCCTGGTGCGCGGCGCCACTCCCACGTCCCGGCATCACCAC